AAGAAAACAACTACGCTACAACTACTGCTAACCCCTAAGAAGGAACTAAGCGAGGTATAGCTACCCCTCTAGCATTCTCCTGTAAAATCCTCCCAAGCTCTTCTGGAATAACATTTATGACTTCTAATTGAGAGTCTTGAGAGACGTCGTGGTTGGCCAACCAATCCGCCGCTCGGTTTCCTTCTCTATAGATGTGAACCACACGAGTTTCCCATCTATCATCACAAAGCAACTTTAGGCAATAATTGATGTCATGTACATTTTCTCCTCGTCCTTCAGCTTGCTTCTGCATTATTCTAACACATGCCTGATTATCAAGGTGCACCTCTAGTTTTGAAATTTGCAGATTCTTAGCTAGTTCAAATCCCCTTGTGAGAGCCATAATCTCAACTCTAAATGCTGAGCAGTATCCAAAGCTAGCTGAGAAACTAGTAATGAATTTACCCTTATTATCCCTGGTGATCGCACCACCTCCAGCTGGACCTTGGCAACCTTTAGCCGCCCCATCACAGTTGAGCACAAACCATCCAGGAGTAGGGGAGTGCCAGGGGATATTCACTTCAACTTTCTGTTTGCTGCTTGAATTTACACCATTGTGATTTTTTTCCAAACTTCCCTTCGTTTCCTTGAATCGAACTCTAAGAAAGGCACCAACATCCATTGGGATCTCATCTCTTCTATTAAATACTCAACAATTTCTCCACCTCCATATCCACTTAGTTGCAATACAAACATTGTATCCCATCCATCAACATTAATAGAGCTATTATCACCCAAATTATAAGTAAGCCAATCCTTAAGAGATAAATTGAAGAATGGAGCATGGAACCTGGGATGCAGTATCTTGTTCCAGGCTATTCTAGCATTTGGGCAGTCCCTTAATATATGCAGCGCATTCTCATCTCCGTTCCCACATATATGGCAAGTGGGAGAGTCTGTTAACTTGCGTTTATACAAGTTCAGGTTACCAAGAATTCTGTCATGGCAGACTAACCATAAGAAAGCTCTTATCAGTTGATGTATTAGGGCCTTCCAGATCATATCCCAAACCTTTTCATCTAGTACATCAGTCTCATGTCTCATTATACTCATTACAGACTTGATTGTGAATTTGCCTTGAGAATTTCCATTCCAGTAAACCAGATCTCCCAACGAAGGATCAGCACGAACTTCGTGATTTTGGATGAGCTTAAGCACATCTTGAGGAAGGAAGGGGGCAAAAATATTCCACCTCCAACCTTGAACTTCCTCCCACATCTCTTTGATAGTGGCGCCTACTAGTTCCATTGTTAGAGGTTGAGTGACTAAATCACTCAGTCGTTTTTCAGATGCCCATTTATTGTCCCAGAACAACGTTCTAATGCCATTCCCAATTGCAACCTTCGTTCCTTCCCCGAGCACTTTTGCATTCTCCATAATCCCACTCCAAACGTTCGACATACCTGCTTTAGGTTCGAACATGTCAAGGTCACACCTCCCTTTGCAGTACTTAGCACGCAAGACTCTAGCCCACAAAGTATTAGGTTCCAAAAGCATACGCCATCCAAGTTTTGTAAGAAAAGCCGAGTAGGCTTGTTTGGCAGAATATATACCCAGACCACCAAGTTCTTTTGGTCTTTGTAAGCACTCCCAGGAAAGCAAATGGACCTTTTTCTTATCCTCACTTCCACCCCAAACAAATCGTCTTGTTTTTTTTATCAATATTCTCACATATTGTCTTCAGAATCTTGGCAGTTTGCATCGAGTAAAAGGACATGGTAGCAAGAGTAGATTTCGCCAATGTGATCCTCCCTGCTAATTAGAGATATTTGGATTTCCAGCCAGCCAGGCGACGATCAATTTTCTCACACAAGTGGCTAAAAGTTTCTTTAGTCACCCTGCTAGATAATGTAGGCATACCTAGATACATACCTAAGTCGTCTGTCACCTCCTTACCCAATTCTGTACTTATTGCAACTTGTTTCTCCATACTGACATTTTTAGAGAAAAAAACCCTCGATTTTGGCAAGCTTACTTTTTGACCCGAGGCATTGAAAAATCTATTTAAACAAGAGCGAATTAAAACAGCTTGATCAACGCTAGCTTCAGCAAAGAGAACAATGTCATCCGCGAAGAAAAGGTTCGAAAGGGTTGGACCATCTCTACTTACACGAATTGGCCTCCACTTCTCTTGAATAATCGCCTCTTCAATCACTTGATAAAAGCGTTCCATACACATCACAAACAATTAGGGGGATAAGGGGTCACCTTGTCGAATTCCCCTACTTGGTTTAAAGCTCTTCGAAGGCTCACCGTTCAAAAGTACTTGAAGGGAAGCTGTGGTAATACAGTCCATAATAATTCCACCATAGTGATTGGCAAATTCATTTGGACAAGAGTATTACGGATAAAGGATCACCTAAGCCTATCATAGGCTTTTTCGAAGTCAATTTTTATAGCCATATATCCAATTGCTCCTTGCTTCTTTTTCATAGTGTGCAGCACTTCTTGCATAATAACTATGTTGTCAGTGATTTGACGCCAGGAACAAAACTCGATTGAGTATTGGATATGAGATGAGGGAGCACTGGTTTGATTCGACTTATGATAACATTTGTAATGATTTTGTAAGCAACATTACATAGGCCGATTGGTCGAAATTGGGAAGCAAATTCTGGCTTTTCCACCTTCGGTATCAAGGCTATATATGTGTTATTTAAGCTCTCTGAGGAATCCTTGCCTTCAAGTATTGGAAGAATTGTATCATAGACATTCTTTGACACCAAGTTTTTTTGGTAAAATAGCACTTGAAATCCATCGGGGCCCGGTGCTTTGAGAGATCCCATTTCTTTAATGACTTCATCAATCTCCTACTTCGAAAAATATTTCGTGAGAACTCCCCAATCGGAGTTCGATAACTTAGGGAAAATATCTTGAGGTATATCCCAATTCCCCTATTCCCCCTCTTCTGTGAAGAGCTTCGAAAAGAAATCTACTATGAGATTTTGAATCTCATTCTTGTCTTGAATCCACGCACCTTCATTGTTTTTCAAAGAAGTAACTTTATTTTCCCATCTCCTTACAATTGAACTTAGATGAAAAAATGTAGTATTCCTATCACCATCTTGAATCCAAGTTACACGGGATTTTTAATACCAAAGGGTTTCTTCACGATCAAGAATTTCATCCAATTCTTTTCGAAGTCTTGCTTCCAATTTGAGCAGTCCTCTATCAACACGTTTGGATAACGCCTTTTGTATTCCTCCAAGCCGAGCAAGCAGGGTCCTTTTTTGTTTAAATATGTTCCCAAACGTGTCTCTATTCCAGATTTGCAAGTCCGAGGACAGTTTTGACAAAGCCGGTACAAGAGGGCTATTTTTGCTCCAATTTTGCTCAACAAAGTTCGAGAAATTTCATGTTGCAGCCAAGTTGCTTGAAAGCGAAAAGGCCTATGAATAGACTCAAACGGAACAAACCCATTAGGAGAAATAAATATGGGGCAGTGGTCTGAAAAATCAGCAGTAAGGTGGCGCATCGATGCTCTCTCGAACCTTAATGCCCACTGATCATTGCAAAGTGCTCTGTCCAGACGACCACTCTTCCTAGTTTCCCGAGTTTTACCTCGAGCCCATGTGTGAGCCGCACCCGAAAACTCAACCTCTAGTAAGTCCATGCCCTCAATCCAATCATTAAACTTTGCCGACCTTCTATCAGTCTCAGAGCAAGAAGTGTTCCGTTCCGATGGGAAATAAGTCTCGTTGAAATCCCCTGCTATAAGCCAAGGTTTGTCATGTGATGTAGCAAAATTTTCAAGTTCCTCCCATAATTCTCTTCTTTTTGTAGGGTCGGGACTTGCATAAACTGCCGTAAAGTACCATGGTAAAGCTCCTACCCTCGATTTCCATATTTATGTATTGATTATGTTGGTTAATCGGGCTGACAGTAACCACATATTTTCTCCAATGAAACCAAATGCCTCCACTAAATCCCACTGCATCTGTTCTCACATGGCCATCACAGCCAAGAATTGAAGCAAATTTGAGAGCATGCTCACCTTTCATATGAGTTACAACTAGAACAAGGACATTAGGTTTATTAATTCCAACTAAATCCTTTAGCGAGGAGATAAAATTTCTACTTCCCGCACCTTTTACATTCAACACCATACAAGTGATTGGAAGTGAGTCCGGAGCTAAATTTGGGATTGAGTCTTTCATAGAAACAGGAATAGAAGGTAAAGATGTCAAATAGGCATCACTAATGAATCGAAGAAAACGCTTAAATTCATTGGGAATTTTCATAGTTGCCACCAACTCCAGAGGGATTGAAGTTGGGGGTAGCATCGATTCAAACTCCACTTCCAATGCATGGATCAAGGGGTTCAAAGTTATCATGTAAGGCTCCTCCATCGAATGGACTACACACAGTATCTTGTTTGTTGGGACTTCGAGGGAGATCAGGGAAGGTGTTCGAGACATGAGTGATTGCTTCTTCTTGCCCTTCTATTGCTTGAGTGTGCTCTTTATTGGCTTCTGAGGCGTATGAATGTGCTTGAAATTTTCCTTCTTTGTTAACTGATGTGGGGGCTTCGAAGGAGCTAACAGAGTTTTCTTTTCCTTCATGCACAACTTTTTTATTTTTGTTAATGAAAATATTAATATTTTCATTAATTTCCTTTAGAGGCTTGATATTATTTTTTGGAGTGAAACTTTTCTTTTATCCTGGAATATTTTGGTAGGATTTTTTTTTTTTAATTTCGAATGGGATTGACTTGAGGGAATATTATTTGCCTTAAATATAGGAACAAATCCTTCTTTTGATAGAGCATCTTGCGAATTTTCCCCTAATTCAACTGTTTCGATAAAATTTCCATCTTTATCCTCTTCCATTATTCCTTCTTCCTTATTTTTATCCTTATCATGCTCCAAAATTTCCTCTTCTTGATTTTCCAACATGGAAAACCTTGACCCCGACCCCTTGTTTCCAGCTGCATTAGGATTGACATTATTTCTTCCCAAAATTTAAACTCCACCCGGACCAGATTTTGTTCCACCAATTGGGTTTTTGTCCTGTTTGGTCTGTTTCTTGTGGCCTGGCTTTTTCACCATCATCCATGAACCGAAGTCTTCATTCTCTTCTGTTTTAGGGTTATGGTTGTGCAAGGGATTATTATGAACAGTCATAGCAGCATTTTGACTCTCAACATGGCTCATAGGACACTCATCTTCTGCATGCCCAAGTTTGCCACATTTAAAGCAAATCATACGAATGCCTTCATATTGGACTCTCCAAATCCTTCCTTTTAACCCAAATTTAGACAATAATGGTTTTGAAAGATCAATTTCCACACTAATACTAGTGAATTGACCACGTTCATCTTTAGTAGTCATTTTATCAACTCTCAGAACCTTACCAATTTTCGACCCAATCTTGTTGAGGAAATTGATATCAAAGTATTCTACTGGTAGATTAGGGATGCGAACCCACGCAGTTAATACTTTGATTGGCGCTTCCTCAGGGATGAAATTAGGAACCCATTTCCTAATTGTGAGATAGTTATCATCGAGAAGCCAAGGACCTTGAGTTAGAACATAACTATAATCTTCTTTGTTGGTGAACCTTGCTATGTAATAGTTACAGCCAATATCAGTAAGGGCTAATTCACCTTTGATGTTCCACTTCTTCTTCAACCTTCTAATTAGGCCCATGTAACCAATCTTACCACTGAACAACTTTATTATCAAGGAGGTTTTCCATGGCTGTCGAAGTCTTGCTTTCTCCTCCTTTGATAACCTAATTACCGGGAATCTTTCATCATTGAGAATTTCCTCCGGGATGTTTTCATCATCGGATTCTATCTCCTCTTCATCTTCAATCTCTAGGATCTCCATTTGAGGATCTTTGGGGATAAAAGACTCACCCCTTATTAAATCACTAAATGAAATTGCACCACCGTTTTGCCCTACCATAGGTTGCTTCTCTCCCATGGAAAAAACCCTTGTTTGCTTAATTCTCAATATCAACATCAAACATCTCCTCATCATTCCTAACAAGATGATTGGACATCACATGATTAATTCTACGTTTAGGTTTCTTATTTGATCGATCCAGTTGATCCCTTTCTTCTTGAGAAGAAGCATTCTTAGTCGCACTCGGAGGGTTTTTCGAGAGAGGATTTTCCATTCTTTTTTTTTATGGGAGTATCATAGTCATAATAAATACATAATAATATGTATATACAAATATGTCTACATAAATGAGTCAATTAGGCAAAGTTCAATACAAGTCAAAATAAAAAACACAGGTATAAACTACGGCGTCAGAGGACGCAAATGACGAGAGATGCCCATCATATCACAGAACTGCGCAGTACGAGGAGTATGCTCTCCACCAGCTCCAGCTCGAGTCTCCCCGAGAGGTGGAAAACTCAGCACAGTACCCGTCCACCCAAGGTCGCCCTGAGGCTGACGCTGCGGAGGCTGCTGCGATGACGAGCCGACCTCGTAACTTCCACCACCTCTATGAGCTGAGGTACCCTCTCCCTGGCCTACCGGCTTAGCGTGCGCCCTTAGATGAAGAGCCCGAGCAGCCTCAGATTGACCACCCCGACTGCCAGAACCAGTACGGCGACGTCTCGAGCTAGACCTCGCCGGATCTATCCGGACCTCAGGTCTCGTCCGGGTACGAGAAGGGATGGGTTGACCCTGTAAGAAGAAACCAAGTTAGAAACAATCAAAATAGAAGCATAATAATGCAGAAACAAGGAGGAAAGTCTACCTCCTGAACAGCGTCGTCGCGACGACACGTAGCCACATCCTCATCAGGACGAGCTGGCTTCGGAAGGCGTCTATACACCGTGCCATCGCCGTGACCACCTCGCGCGAGAACTGTCAAAGAAATAAATTCAGTAACTTACCCGAGACTGGTGGCGAGGAATCGACCGCTCAACGAAGCGCTAATCCTCGGGAGACGGAGGAATCATCTCCTCGATGGACCCGTATGTCCCCTGGTAATGGATGGACATATGAGGTGGCACGAACTCAATAGGCCCAGCCTGACAAAAGCAAATCAAATTCAATAAAATAACACTTGGGGGCTACTTAGCAAAAGGTAAAATATAAAAATCATACCGCAGCCTCCTCAGAAAGAACAGGGGCCGGAGCTAACAGCGGCAGAAGCTCCTCCTCATAGCACTGCCCAAGGACCGCATGAGATCTCCAAGGGGTACCAACCCTCTCCGACGTGCTAAGCAACCTTGTTTCATTGAACATGTGAGGCGGCGGAGGAGCAGGAACGACGAAAGCATCCGAGGAGTGCTGAATAGCAACCCTCTCTCCTAGGTATGCAATCGCTTCATACGTCCCTAAAAAGTAGCGACACTCAGCATTGTACTACGCGGCTAACCTAGGGACAACCAAGCCATTCCATGGCCGGTACTGCACATCAGGCTCCTGCGAAGAATGCCTATGAGATGAGAATCTACCAAAGATAATACAAAAGTGTTCAACTATGCAAAGAACCATACCGAGAGGATCTGCTCTCGAACGTAGGCGTTAGACATCCAAATGTGGTGGCCTCCCCAACAGGCGCTCACTGGAAACCCGCATGGCGACGGTCTCGCCGGCGCGGCTGAAGGAAAGTATTCGTAGAACCAAATCTTCAAAAGACAAAAAGTATCAGCAAGTGCTAACCAAAGCTTAGAGCTAAACTTTATGGGAGATAAAGTATAGCTCTACGACTCTCCAAAAGCTGGACAGAGCGACGTTCCCCGTCAAGGACCGGTGTCAACACGAGTCTCGCAACGCTCGAACAAAATCAGCATAGGCCAAGCTGGCCCAGTCTTAAGTCCCGATCATGTGAAGATCACGGACTGCAGGAAGGTAGTAAATAGCACTCTACTACCCTTGTCAGGGAAAAACGTCCCTAACAGCAAGATAAGCGCAAAGATGTGCACCCGCTGCTCTCGGGTGGTCGCATCATCCTCAAAAGCTGCCGCTAGAGTCGACCGGCGTATACCCTTAGCATTGAACTGAGTCGACTCCACCTTAACACGAGCCCGAACAGCAATCGGACCCAACAACTCCTCAACCTCAGGAGAGAAGACGCTGATATTGCTGTCGAACGATAGCGCATTAGAACTAAACTCCAGTCCCGTAATAAGACTGAAGTCGGTTGGGGTAACCATCATCTCACCCCAAGGAAAGTGGAAAGTGTCGGTGGTGTCCCAGAAGAACTCCACCAGGGCACGAGCCACGCGGTGACCCCCGTCAGAAGCAATAATGGCCTCCGCAGCCTCGAATAGGGCAGCCAGCCCACAAGACTCCCAAAGAAGTCTCAACTCTCCGTCGACGCTGATGTACATCCTATACAGGTCGCCTAGAGTATCGTTGCCCGAGCCATGGCAACGCGTCCTACCAGCAGTAATCCCGACGCACTCTCTCTGAAATGTGGTGGTCGAGGGAGAAGTACAAAGTCCGCTCATCCCACTCAGGGAGGGGACCAAGAGAAGTGGACGGGTCGGCGTCCTCCTCTACGGGTTCATGCTCCCGTCGTGTGTCTCGGGACTGTGAACCCGAACCTCACTGTCTAGCCATACTACATTGTGCAAAATCAACATAAATTAAGGTTCTATAGTATCTAAGTTTCGCCTAGCCGCATGATACTATGTTCGCGAAAAACAGAGTACGTAGTACTAAAACAGAGCACAAATTCAATGTGAGCATATACGACATTTTTCAAGCATCAAAAAAATTTCTTGCAATACTATGGTAATTATTGTGATAAATTGGACAAGAATTGCTAGCAAAAACATCAAGAACAAGCCACATTGTCTTCCCGACCTTAAGAGGTCCAACAATGGTGATTTGTTTGTTTCTTCACCAAATTGAGTCAAACAAGTCTCAAAATAATCTCAAAGCAATATATAAACATAATCAAGCAATTTCATGGCATAAAATTTGACAAAAAAAGCAAATTAAGCAATTTAAGTTCGAATTTTCCCAAAATTCATGAACAAAGAATGTCAAATTCATCAAAAACCAAAGTGAGTTTGAAAAAAAATTACATATATTGGGAAAGTAGATGAAAAAAGCTTCGATTTGAAACAAATTTGAGCAAATTTGGTTGAGAAACGAGCAAGAACGACCAAATTGAAGTTTCGCGGCGATTTCTCGAAGAAGAGCAGTAGCAGCGGGGAAATGAGGAAGAAAGGGGATATATACGGAAATCCCGACTCTGGCACCAAACGACAGCTTTGGCGTCGGGCGCTAGAGCTCAGCGCCTGGCGCTAGTTCCAGTGTCTGACTCTAGAACAAAAATTGTAACGCCAGCAACCTTTTAGCAACGACAAAATGTTCAACTACTCAGAATAGTTATTTCGACCTCTTACAGGAATTTTGGGTTCCTTGGTACGCCAGTTAGCCCCTCTAAGCAATTTGACATGATTTAGTAATCGGCATCGGTTACAATCGCATTAAGTGATCGACCTAATGAATGATCGTCTCACTTAGCTTAAAGCACCTAAGCATTGGCTCATCGGAGGCACCGATAAAATGGTTTAGAAACATCGGAGGCAATGACATAATGGTTCATAAACAGAAGAAGCACCAACGTAATGGTTCACAAGCAGTAAAAGCGCCGACGTACTGGCATAGCGGAAGCAAAGTTCAAGCGAGATTTTCAAGATCGACGAGCATTGATCTTCGGAAATTTTCCTCGGAATATTATCGCAACAAATGAGGATGACTTCAGGCGAGGATATCTTCGACAGCGTTCCCTAGCTTGCGGAGGGTTGTCATAAACAAATGGAGGTGATTTCAGGCAAAGTTATCTTCGATCGTGTTCCCTGCCTTGCGGAAGATGGTCACAAAGCGTCAGAAGGTCGTTTCAGGCGAAGCAATCTTCGATGGGGTTCTCTAGCTTGCAGAATTCTATCACGGCGATATTGGAGGCAGTTACAAGCGTAACAGTTTTCATGCGGTATTCTCTAGCTTGCAGAAGATCGTCAAAACAAACAGCAGGAAGGCGTTCCCTAGCTTGCAGAAGGTTGTCACAACAACAGTAAATGCAACAAAACGGTTACTTTCAGAGACGTGTGCTCGACGGTGCAAGATATACATTTCTTAACTCTTTTATCTGTTTAACTAACGCTAGTTTGCAGGTATCGGCGTTACAAGAGTGATTCAGGATCACAGAACGTTCTGAATCATTCTCCGTCCCTATCGATAATTTGAATTTTGTTTTCGAAACTTGCGGTTCTCCAAACTTAGTCAAAGTGGGGGCTTCTGTAGACACCTATTTGTGTCTCCCCAAAACCAAGCCCAGTGATGAGTACCTTTCACGTCGAATCATAATCGAATGAAGTGAAAGTGTGGAAAGTCTAGTGTTGCAGTTAGTTTTTATTTCTTTTCTTTCTCTCTGTTTTTGAAAACCTATTTTAAGAGAGCAGCCAATCCAGTTTGGTTTAATTTTTTCCATTTAAAGGGTCTAATAATAGTGTAGTTGGGTCGGGTTTGAATAGAGCTTTCCAACGATATATTATAAGCCCAATTCTGATGAATAATGAGGAAGTTATGGCAAAATTACTAAACTGGGCCCGGTTTGATATTTATGTGCGGCCTAATGACCTAGAGGAGGGCCTAATATTGATTTCTCATTCCTAATGCAATTAGAATTGATTATAGTCTTCTAGATTCTTCTAGAAGGTTCTTTTCATTCCTAATTTAATTAACATTGATAAATTGACTTTAGTTGACTCTTTAGAGTTTTAATTAGAATAAAAGAAGTGTTTTTAAGGAAAATACGATTTTGCCCTTCTGTACGGCTAAATTTTATCAAATTAAGAAAACGCGTTTAAATTGGTTTCTAACGTCTGACGACAGGACCAGCGCCTGGCGCCAAGCCTGGCGTCTAGCGCTAGCCCTGGCGTCTGGCGCTAGCCCTGGTGTCTGGCGCTAGCCCTGGCGTTTGGCGCTAATGTCTAGCGCCT